AAAAAGCTTTGAAAGCAGTCTAACAGTAATAATATTTTTAAAATATTCATAAATTATTGGGTTGGGAATATAGCTCAGTTGGTAGAGTTCTACCAACAAGGCCCTGGGTTCTAATCCACAACACCACACAGACACACACACACCACCAAAAAAATAAAAAATAAAAATAAATTATCTTTGTGAAGAAAATTATGAAAATTTTTGTTGAGAAACATTAAATAATACAGAAAAAGTAGAAAACTTTCTTTTGTTTATGTACAGTGTCTTGACAACTTTAGGTTTTCTCCTATTAATATATAAATTGATTTTAATAACATTAAAAGTTTTAGTTGGGTTTTCTGTAGAATTGATGATACAAAAAAAACCAATAAGTGAAAAGGCAAATTAGACCAGGTGGGAGGGACTTGTTCTGCAGGGTAACTAGACTTCTTTTTTATTTTTTAAAAATATATTTAAAAAATATATTTTTAGTTGTTCATAGACCTTTATTTTATTTATTTGTATATGGTTTGGAGAATTGAACCCAGTGCCTCACACATGGTAGGCAAGTGCTCTACCACTGAGCCACAATCCCAGCCCCCTACAAGACTTCTTTTAAAGCTACAATAATGCAGTGGTATAGACGCAAAGATAAACATAGACCAATGGTACAGCATAAAAAGAGTCCAGAATCAGACCAACCCATACGTGGAAATGTAACACACGATTGAAGTAGCATTTACAGAGGATGAATGTTCAAGGAAAGGTGAGGGGGCAACGAGTTATCCATGTTGGTGGAAAATTGGGTTCCGTGTTTTATACCACAAAGAAGTCAATTCCAGATGAGCAAATCTTAAATGTGAAAAAGCAAAACTTTAACAAAACTCCAAAGAGAAATTATAGAACATTTTCGTTATAATCCTGGAAGAAACTCCCTGTTTGTTTCTCCCCGCAACCTCTTTCTTTTCCCCTTCTTCCTTTTTCCCTTCCTTCCTTGTTTTTATTTCCTGATACCCTTTCTTTCCTTCCATACTTATTCCTTTTCATGTTTTTTTTTCTCTCCTGACTCATTCATTATCTCCTGTGATATATATAAGGCAGACATTTCTTGAATTTACAAGCATGTTGCCAGATGAGAATGAGTGTGCAAGGGTGTGTATGTCTGTATACACTACAAGTGGGTTCCTGTGTTTAATAAGTGATACAACTGTAAGATTCTGTGTAATATAAGGTGTAATGGATAATAATAAAAGTGAAGCCACAGGCATTGGTGCATACATGTAACCCCAGCAATTTGGGAGGCTGAGGCAAGAGGATCATAAGTTCAAGGCCAGCATCAGCAACTTAGTAAGGCCCTAAGCAACTTAGCAAGACTCTGTCTTAGAAAGTAAAAAGGGGGCTGGGGATGTGGCTCAAGCGGTAGCGAGCTCGCCTGGCATGCGTCCGGCCCGGGTTTGATCCTCAGCACCACATACAAACAAAGATGTTGTATCTGCCGAAAACTAAAAAATAAAAATATTAAAAAATAACTATTAAGAAAGTAAAAAGGGCTGGAGATGTGGCTCACTGGTTAAGTGCTCTTGGGTTCAATCCCCAATTATGTCCGCAGTTCCCAGCCACCCCCCCCCCCCCAAAAAGAACATCTGTGAATTAACCACCGAATTTAAAAATAAGGACATTACCATGATTGCATCTGGTTTTCACTCACATTATCTTATTTCTCCTGAGAAAACCATTGTTTTGGGGCAGGGGGAGGGGTGATTGAACTTAGGGTCTTGTATATGCTAGGCAAGAGTGCTAGGCAAGCACTCTACTGTTGAACTACATCCCTAGTTCTTTGTATTTTATTTTGAGACAGGGTTTTTCAAACTTGCCCTCACTGGTTTCAAACTTGTGATCCTCCTGCATGAGCCCCCTAAGTAGGCAGGATTATAGGCATGGACCACCACACCAGCTAGATAACCACAACCTTAAAGTTTGTGTTTTATTATATGATTCCTTTATAGCAGTAGCTTGTTTTTTGTTGAATTTGGGCTGCCTTGTAATAATGTATTATCCTAAAAGACTAAGTCATGGACTGGTTGAATATATTTTTGTTGTTTTATTGTAATTGGTAGTATCTACAATATATTAAAGAACTCTTACACTTCAATAATATGAAAAACATGAAGCCATTTAGTAGGGGGAAAAAGACTAAAAATATAAATATAATTTACTCAAGAAGAGACACAAATAGCCAAGAAGGCTGAAAAGGTGCTTAACTTTCATGGTAAGTTGGGAAATGCACATCAAAACCATAGGATACTGTTCCACATCCATCAAATTGTCAAACTTTTAAAGAAAGAGTATATTAAGAAAGAGGTGACATAAGAGGAAGACAGCTCTAATACACTCTAATATAACCCTAATACAGATCAGTAGTATAATGAGTGGTGTAACAAGTTAAGTTTGGTGAAAAAGTTAATGCAATTCTTGTATTTAATATCATGGAGGAACTATATTACATGTTTATACAAGGACACATGTTAAATGAGTGTTCCTTAGAATTTTATACTTAATGGTAAAATTTGAAAATAATCCCCAAATAGCCATCATCAGGCAAATTTAAATTTTGACATTGTCTTATAATGTACCAGCAAAAGTCAAATTAGAGCAACAATTGTAATGAAATTGGATCTGTAAATATGGAAGGAAGTGAAAAGTTCTTTCACTAAAAATATGTAGCAAAATGAAATTAAACCTCTATCTCTCACCCTGAACAAATCAACTCAAAGTAAATCAAAGACTTAGGCACTAGAACAGAGACCCTGTGCCTAATAGAAGAAAAAATAAGTGCAAATCTTTGGTCTAGGATCTGACTTCCTTAACAAGATTCCTAAAGCACATGAAGTAAAATCAAGAATCAATAAATGGGATGGATTCAAATTAGAAAGCTTTTTAGCAAAGGAAATAATCAGTAATGTGAGAGCCAACAGATTGGGAGAAAATCTTTACCACATGCACCTCCTATAAAGCATTAATTTCTAGGATATACAAAGAACTCAGAATACTTAACACCAAAAAACAAATAACCCAATCAATAAATGGACCAAGAAACTGAACAGACACTTCACAGAAGAAATACAGTTGATCAACAAATATATGAAAAAGTGTTCAACATCTCTAGCAATTAGAGAAATGCATTTCATCTAATGAGATTTCACCTCACTCCTGTTAGAATGGCAATCATCAAGAATATAGGTGACAATAAATGTTGGCGAGGATGTGGGGAAAAAGGTGCACTCATACATTGCTGGTGGGACTGCAAATTTGTGCAACCACTATGGGAAGCAGTATGGAGATTCCTTAGATAACTGGGAATGGAACCGCCATTTGACCCAGCTGTTGCACTCCTTGGTTTATACCCAAAGGACTTAAAATCAGCATACTATAGTAATGCAGCTACTTCAATGTTTATAGCAACTCAATTCACCATAGCCAAACTATGAAACCAGCCTAGGGTCCTTCAGTAGATGAATGGATAAAGAAAATGTGATATTTTCTTTATCCATTCAGTGGAATAATATTCAGTGGAATATTATTCAGCTTTAAAAAAGTGAAATTATGGCATTTGCCAGTAAATGGATGGAGTTGCAGAATATCATACTAAGGAAAATAAGCCAGTCCCTAAAAACCAAAGGCCAAATGTTTTCCTTAATATGCAGATGCTAATTTACAGTAAGACATGCAGGGTCGGGGTGGGGCACTAGAGAAGAATAACATTACCTTAGATTAGATGGAGGGAAGGAGAGGGGATGTAGGGATAGGAAAGATAGTAGAATAAAACAGACATTATTACTTAATGTATATATGTGACTGCATGACCAATATGATTCTAAAACGTGTACTTGGAAAAATGAAAAATTATCTGTGATGATATATCAAAGTGCATAAATGCATGTTATGTATAACTAATTAAAACAATAAAAAAATTAATAAAAATAATTGTAGTTTGATATTATTTGTGTTTAAAGCATGTATGCTAATATATTACAATATTATTGAGGGAATGTAGATATTTATGGTTAATGTTTTAAGAAATTCAAGGGCTGTGTGCTTGAAGCTTAAGAAATAATACTTAAGTAAAATATGATCAAGAAGTCATTATGAAAACTAAAACAATTTTGATTTGGATGTTAATGAAAGCTACATATATTGAAATTTGTAGGATGCAATTAAAAAGTTCCTAGAGGAAATTGGTTGTCCTCAGTGTTTGTATTAAAGAAGAAAAACTGCAAATTAGTTAGCAAGGAATACATCTCAAAGAGGCAATGTAAAGGAAAGAAATGTTGAAGGACAGATTTAATGAAATAACAAACATACATACCTTAGATGTGTAAAATTATTATTATTATTATTTTTACATTTAAAAAATTTTTTATTTATTTATCCCTTTCATTTTCAATAACAGTACAAATATACACATGGTTAAAAAATGCATAAAGTACAGAAAGATCTAAAACAAAGTAAATATCCTTTTCCTATAACATGACAGATCTGATGTCTTCAAAATCCTTTAGGAGGGCTGGGGATGTGGCTCAAGCGGTAGCGTGCTCGCCTGGCATGCCTGCGGCCCGGGTTCGACCCTCAGCACCACATACAAACAGAGATGTTGTGTCCGCCGAAAACTAAAAAATAAATATTAAAATATTAAAAAAAAAAATCCTTTAGGAGTTATATGAGTAACACACCAACTAAGTCTTTTCAGGCCTTTGGAACTGTGTTGATTGTCTCCTATAACACCTCTGCTACAGAGGAAACGGGCATTCTTCTCCTTCATAAAGAAAGTTTAAAGGGCAACAGTCACACACCGCTCAGAGACAACAAAATCCAGGTAGCACCTCAGACACCACTGGGTCTAGTTGTAGCTCCAGAGAGTCCCAGGTAACATCCAGAGACAGTGCTGCAGGAGTTCAGCCAAGTCCTTCCTCGATGCCACAGATCCTCCTGGCCAGCTGCACATCCTTGGGGAAAAGAGTGACTCAGCCAGCATGTAAGGAGAGGAGGTAGGCATCCTCAAAGAGGTGAACTAAAAATGCTTCTGCTGCCTCTTGAAGGGCCAACAGGGCCTGGGCTTGACAACTGAAGTCCACACCACGTGAGAATTTCATACATATTTTTCTTGCCAGGCGGCTGAAGGGGTACTTCCTTATCAAGAGGTCTGTGCTCTTCTGTAGATTTTTGATCTCCTTAATCCAGCCAATTCTCCTCCGACTATGAGAGGAAGAACCTAAGGAGGCTTCCCGCCGCGGGGTCCCGCGAGGTGGACTCGCGCTGCGCCTCTTCGGGGTCTCTGGCTTGCGGCGTCGGCGGCGAGGGCCCATCGCGGGCCACAAAGGGTCCCGGCTCCCGGTCGCCCCACGGCTCCTGTTCTGCCTTCTGGACCCGTAGCTGAAGGCTGGTTACCAACAGAAGACGAGAGAGCGCCCGGGCGGAGGGCCACTTAGATGTGTAAAATTATAATTCACAAACTTCTGATAAGATTATCAAGGAAAATAAAAAAGGAAAGCCAGAAAACTCAAATGACTGATATCAAGAATAAAGAATGGAACTTACTAACCAATATTTCTGATTCTCTAGTACTAGCACTGGGGATTTTAAAGCTCTTACAGGTCCTCTGACAAAATAGCCAGGCTTCCTACGTTCATAGAGAAAGCAGTCACCTTGGTTTACTTGAGGTTGGAGGGGGAGTAGGAAAGGAGATGCTATGGTGATCTGTCTTTAGACAGTAGGTTATGGGCCACACTTAGAAAAAGGATTTCTGGTTATATTACTGCATCTGTGATTGTTTAATTAAGTTGTTTGAAATTCAGGAATCAGAAAATTTAAAGTTTTATACCAAAATAGAAAATGAGGGGAATCTTATAGATCATAATTTCTATTAGCATATAAAATGACAAACAAACTATGGTGCATACCTGTAATCCTAGTGACTTGGGAGGCTGAGGCAGAAGAATTGCAGATTGCAATTTAGTAAGACACTGTCTCAAAATAAAAAGAGTTGGGGACTCATGATGTAACTTGGTTGTAAAGTATCCCTAGGTTCAAAACTCAATACTCACCTCCCAAAAAAAAAGATAGGAAAAAAACTTGATAAAAAGAAGTAGGCAGGGGCTGGGATTATAGCTCAGTGGTAGAACACTTGCTTAGCATATGTGAGGCACTGGGTTCAATCTGCAGCACCACACCACATAAGTAAATAAATAAATAAAATTCAAAAAAGACAAATAGAAAATTATGGCCCTGTTTCCTTTATTAATATTTATCAGTGATGAATAACTAATAAATAGATGTATACATAGGAAATCTTAAATAAAATATTAGCAAATATACTCAGGAAGAAATTAAAAGAATAGAAACCTAGATTCTTTCTAGGCATGGTTAATGTGGTCTAATATTAGATTAATATTTGAGAAGTCAAAGAAAGAGAAATTTATGATCAGTTCATTAGATGCCAGAAAAGTTTGGTTTTGTCATTTCATTATCAATTATTGTTGTTTTTTAAAGCTTAAATAATAATATGAAATCTTTTTTTTTTTTTTTTTAATGATAAAGATTTATTTCAAACCAAACCATTTTCCTTCTCTCTGCAGCCTTTGAAGCATTCCCCTTATGGTGGAACAAAACAAAGATGCCTATTACTATTTATTTTTTTAAATTTTCATTTTTTGATTCATGTAGATGGATAGCATGCCTTTTTATTTTTTTGTTTTTATGTGGTGCTAAGGATTGACCCCAGTGCCTCACATGTGCTAGGCAAGCGCTTTGCCACTGAGCTACAGCCCCAGCCCCCCCGCCCCCCTTTCAATTCTTATTTATTTATTTATTTGTTTGTTTATTTTTTTGCGGTGCTGGGGATCGAACCAAGGACCTTGTGCATGCAAGGCAAGCACTCTACCGACTGAGCTACATCCCCAGCCCCTTTACTATATTTTGACTTTAACTAAAAACATAGCCAGTGCAAGTTGCCAAGAGATATATGTAAACATTGCCAAGATATAGACTCAGTTATTATAATCTAATTATGTACTTAGGAAATCCCCCCATGGCTGAAATTCTATCAGAAACAATATGAAAATTAAATAAGATTTGTGGCATACTAAATAAAAAGCTTTCATGTAAACAAACAATAACCATGTAAAAAACACCAGGGGCCTTACTTCTGAGTTAAAATAGCAAATTAGATAAACACGTTTAATTTTGTTCCTTGCTGACTTCCATCAAAGTGGGCAAAGGGGTGACAATGGACCTGTTTTACACTGTAGTTGGCCAGGTACCGTGATTGTGGTGGGCCCTGTCTTCCTGGACATGCTCATGACCTTGCCCACTAACTCACCAAAAAGGCTCTTATAAACTTTTGTTAAAGCTACAGACAGACTGTGTGACACAGGAAGAAGGTCATATTTTATTGGAAAATCTTTGTAGTGACAATATTTCTCTTGCTCATGCAGCTAGTTTTATGCTTGCTTTTTCACTATTTGGGATATACACATAGGTAGTAAAACCGAGAGGAGATAAACAAGGGAATATTTAACACAAAAGATGAAGTAGTAATTGCCAAGGGTTAGGAAACACAAGCTTTTGATACATTGCTTATTGGTAAAGTTCATTTTTTTAGCTTTGTTGCATTTTATATATTTAAAAAATCTTGAGTGAAAAGATGCCAGCAATAACCAATAAAGCTGCCAAACTCCTAGGATTAAATACTCAGGACTTGCATAAAACAATTCTTAAAACTTGACTAAAGTCTTAAAGAATACTTTGCCTTGTGAAGAGGATTTGCCCTCCTGAGACTGTGGGAGGCTTGACCAAAATGATATTAATAGTTCATCTAGAAAAATTAATGTGTAAGAATAGCCTTAGGGAAATGGATATTAAGAATAGGTGTTAGAGCATATTTTGAAACTAATCAAAATAATCCTGCTAAAGGAGGAGAGTGGAATAGATTAGGAAATTCAGAAACAGATTTAAATGCATGTGGGAATTTAGCAAGTGGTAGAAATCAAAGAGGGCATGTTTCGGGAAAATGTCACTTAGATCCTGCCTTAGCAAAAACGTTCAGATTGATGAAGATTAAAAAAAAAAAAAAGAAAAAGAAAAAGGAAAAAAAGAAAAAAATCAAAACCCTAAAACAAAGAAAATTGCAATACAAAAGCATGAATTAATTTATATTTTTGTTGTGATACTTTCTTTTTAAACAGATAAAAACCCCAGATGGCATACAGGAAAAAAGTGGATACATGTATTTAAAATTCTGTGTGGAAAAATATTATAATCATATTCAAAAGACAGATGAAAAACTGAGGAAAAATATTTGCACCACAAATGGAAAATGTCCTTAATTGACAAAAGACCTTTTATAAATGAAAAGGACTAATAGTCCAGTACAGACAAGACAAAGGAATTGAACAGGCATTGTGCAGAAAAATAAATATGAAAGGCCAGTAGACATAAAAATGATTACTTCTCTCATAATTAAAGAACCATGGGATAGCATATTTTACTACTCAGTTGGGCTAACAATTTGGAAGGTTGATACTAACTCAGCTCGTATGGATGTATGGGACAACAGGTTGTCCTTGTAATGAAAGGGAGGCTGGAGTGCACAGTTCTGAGGAACAGTTTGGCATTGTCTCAGCATGTTAAGTGCAAGAACTTTTGGTTTCAGCCATCCCATCAGTAATGAACCTAGAGGGATATTCCCCAAGTTTACCATGAAAGATATGCTATAAAAAATGTTGTATGCAGTAGTTTTAGTATAATAACAGAACAGAATCCTGGGCACTGCATGGATACCAGGAGTGAAGTTGATGCTCAGTCCATTCCTTGGACTCAGTCCATTCCAGCTCTCGGATGACTGTGTGGATGAGGACGGACAGTCTGCCATCCAGTGCGCCCACCAGAATGGAGTGGCTGCTGAAGCCTGCATGTTACCAGTCTGATAGAACGTCCTTTCTGTGGCCTCCAGTCTACCAGTAGTGACAAAGATTTCTTCCTAACAAACAGGACTGAAGTCCTGCCAAGCTCCCCTGTGTTTCTGCCTCTTCCCTTAAGGATCATCTTGATAGCAGTGATTTTTTTTTTTTAACTGAAAAAAAGAATAGAATTTTCTCAGGGACACTCAACATCACAGATTAGCTGTAATAACTATAATAAAATAAAGCTGTTTGTTATTAGCTATTTTAGCTATCACACTTAACAGCTTGCCTCAGTAAAGTGTAAATCATTTGAATTTGAGGATAGAAACCAAGAGCCCCAAAGTGTCATGGTGCTAGCATTTTCCACACAGTGCTCTATTCCAGGCCTCTCTCAGAAGATGGCTCAGTTATTATGGTGGACCTGGCCTTTCAGAGGTGGAAGAAGCCAAGGTAACAAAAACTCTGGAAACTACTATTGGGTTCTGGCATTGGCACTCAGGGCATCCACCATGCTATGCCTCTGGAGCTTGTTTCACTCCTGGTTCTGAGAGTGTTGGTGAATAGATGGTATTTGAGTAGGTGAGTTAGTTGATACTGAGAAACTACCACCTTTCCCCTCCAGCCATTAGTTAGGAGAACCTGGAGGGGCCTTATGGAGAATGTTCTCTATTGTAGTTGTGTGCAGTCAATAGTCATGAACTCTCAACCTGGGGGAACTATGTACTGAGGTCCTGTGATCAGAGGAACACAAAGACTTCTTAAAAAAAGGAGAAGGAAGGAGGGCAGGGAGAAAAAGGAAGAGAAATAGGGAATGTTTGATGTAAAATGAAGATAAAATGAATTCAGTTTTCCTCTCTTTCTTGCACCACTACACCAAGTTGACAAAAGGCCTCTGTTCTTTCCCACGTAGGTATGCATGAGAAATTTGCTTCCTCTGTGGTTTGATTGGGACAAAAAGCAGTTCTGCCACTGGAGCTCTTAGAGGCAAAAGCTCCTGTCTTTGTAGATTTTGGTTCAAGTCTGTTTACAAACAGTATTCCCACTCATGAAAATCTAGACTAATTACCTAAATGTAGAATCCCACACAGGCCTGCACGTTACTGGTAGGTGCATAGGTGCCTGTTTTCTTGCCTGATACAAGGGGGTGGCTGTGCCGTTTGCCTCATGATTGATTGAATTCATTGTGGACCTTCTTTCCTGATTCCTCCTGTCATCCAAAAGGGGGCGCCCCATGGGCCCCTTTTTCTGTGGATATAGTAAACCAGAACTCTCTGTTAGTGGATCCTGTGAAGACTTTAAAATCTCCAGTGCTAGTTGATTAAAAACAAAAGCTTTTGGATTTGTTGGACTTTGTGGGAAGGAAAAAAACACTGAAAATATACTTTCATAGTGAACTAATTCAGTAAGATATAGTTTCTCCTTGCAGCAGCATAATTTTTTAGTT